GAAAGATCACGAAGGAGACGAAATTAGCGCATATCTATTTAGATAATAAGTATCGAAATAACTGGGTGTAAACCTTAACAGGGCACAAAGCCCTGCATATTAAGCTAAAATATTTCATTGGTAGAAAAAAGAATTGCACACATTAACTCTTAAAGAGGGGAAAAACGCCACAAAACAAAGGACTGGATTACCTAAAAAATCAATTAGCAGCAAAAAAGTGAACATCAGTGATAAGAATATCCGCAATTAACCCAGAAAAAGGACAGGACTAGTAACACATTTTATTTTTGTACTTCTGAATCTACAATGATAAACAGCTCCAAAGCAACCAACTGGAGTCAGTATACGAAATACGGAAATGTTGACATGTTCCGTATAATTTCTTACCCATGCTTGTGTCTGTCTTTCTTTCTTTTTTATTCAAATCCTGGAACATACAGGAAAGTAGGGGAGAGGCAGGATTTGAACTCTTGACCTTGGCTCTAGAGGCAAGGCCATGTACCAACTCTCCTAATGAGGGTTTGTTTCTTACACATGCTTATGTTCTCTCCATTACTTTTTCAGGTTCATAATTTCCGAACCACGTTTGTAATGAAAATAATATGATGTAGGGAGGACAAGAAAGCAAGGATGAACACATACAAAATGCAAAATTGCACAATTACCTGTGAAGCATGTAGAGATTTCGAACACTCCTATCCGCATCGGGGGACAAATACTTGCCGTCGTCTCTATCCAGATCGAGTTTTAACGGGAATTCATAGCGGTCATTTATCTACAACCATAACAAAGAAACATCAGATCAACACCCAGTGTCTCATCAAAAAATCATCACACACAACCATCAAAAAATCAGAAGGAAAAACAAAATTAGAGAACATGAATTCTATTTTTGCTAGTTTTCGCAGAAAATTACCCTTATATATAAATGTTGGAAAAATGAAAAGATATATGCTCTATCTACTTTTAAATAGAAATAAAAACAACATTAAAATGGATAGAGGAACTTCTAGACAGCATCATCAAGAACAGATCTCAAGAGCAACAAGATCGGAAGAACAACTCTAATCAACTTTAAGGAGTTCCAGCAACACGAACCAGCAGCCTAAGCACAAAACTGACGCCACAGTATAACTACAACAGAGATGATGTAGAGCTAGCACTGTTCTGAAGCAGAGATTCAGCAAAGAAGCATATGCTATTCTGGTGTTAATCTTGGGCTATTTCCAAGAGGTGTTCTGGAAGAAAATATTCTCAGTCGTAGGTTTGAAAACTTTTAGAGAATGAAAACGCAGTTGATTTGTTGACAAACATGTTGTGATGTACTTTGGAAGACATTTTCAACTGTAGCAGTCTTCGATGTTATGTTTTTGTGAATAGTGGGAGACATTTTCTACTGTAGATGCTTGACTGAGGTCAATATTATTCTTATGTAGTTGTGGGATTATAGTAGATATAAGTTCATTAAAAATTGTAATGTATGGTATTATTTTAGAATGAAAACGTATCAAAGAAATATGCAAGTGACAAACATTTTTCCGAGTAAGGACCAAAGTGGAGGGAGTGAAACTAAACATTGCAATAGAATATTGAGGTCCAAACATAGAAATCTACCCAATTTGAAGGTAATTACTATTTTAGTTACTAACCTTAACCATTGTATCTCTCATAAAATCGTACTCAAATCGCTTTAACTGAAGAAATAAAACTGGCGGAAAGTCGATGAACGAGACACCCTTCTTGGCATCCTAAGATTCAAAAAATACTCTTTCAGATAAATGTTAAACAAAAGAAATATTACATTAATGATAGTTGAAACAAGAACTGCAACATAGAGAAGTATACAAGCCTATTAAAAGTTAAGTGAAATTTCTTAGGTTAACAATAAACTTCCTCCCAGCCCAAAAGTTGCATTGAGCCAGATGAAGCGTATACACCAAAATTGGTATATCATAACATTAATACAATCTCTTATCCATGTTGTGGAAGCTAAAATCATCTCAATCAAAGTGCACTTTCCATACCACAACCCCCCGTCCGACTGTTATAACTTGCTAGACAAGGCTATTTACAAACTGGTACAGCTAACCACTCGAAAGCTGCTGGCATAACATACTCATGCGTTTTAATTTATTTTTGGTAAATCCATTTTCAATTTCTCACAATTCCAACTTTCATGACAGTTTATTCTAACATGCAGCTAAGACATCTTCGTATCATCTAGTAGAGGACCAAGATACCTGCAAACCATGTTGTTCAGCATGGTATTTGTTTTCTCCTTCAAGACATTCTACTTCTACATATTTGTCGAATGAAGCATACACATCTTTGCAACCTTTTACATCAAGCTGAAGATCTGCCACAAGGAGAAGTGTCAAAATAAATTTGTCCCCTTAAAAATCAAGGACTGTCTTCTGAATCAACTTCTACCATAAAATGATTCTTTTCTTGTGGACTTGAAGTCCACGTTAATACAGTCAATATAATTCATATTATGGCCTTCAAACAACTTTTGTATAGTTCCTTCAACCACAGTTCCCTGCGCAGCAAAAAATGATTCTATCAGATATGACCTGTTTATAGGTACAGAAACAAAAACATTTCAACAAGGTAATATTGTCAGACACCAGAACCTTCATCTTGTCCTCGAGCTTTTCACATAAAGCTCTGTTGAGTTCTTGCACATCATGTTGTACAAAGGAATCATATGTGTCCCACCCAAATGATTTAGTCAATTCTTTTGTAGCGACACTGGTGTCGTTATATTGAAGCTTATAAAATAAGCTCTGTAAAGCCAAAGGGATGCTCCCGGTGGGGTTATCATTCTCAGTTGTTGGCATGTGATATACAGCCTGATACAACATTTTAAAAGTGAGGCTACTTCAAACTTCCCCAATCACAAACTCATAGATTTAACAGATTAACAAGTCAGAGCTAGACAGCTCATTAAAAATTAAGTAACCTTTCTGAAGTAAGGAATATGGTACAAGGTTTGGAGCAGAGAATTAATATAACAAGTTGCGCCCTGGTTCTTAAGTCCAACATAGCCTGTCTCTTTCTTTGAGTCGTATGCCCAGTAATCAATGACCTTCCGGACAGCAACATCAGCTTCAATAACACAAGTATCATTCACCAGGTACCCCATGTTAGGGTCATAAAGTTCACTTAGAGGCATGAAAGATGTGAAACCCCAATCACTCTCCCTTTGAGTGAACTGATGATGTGTGTCTGTGAATCCCATAAAAAATGAAGAGTACATCAGAAAAATAACAGTTCAGGAAGCAAATGCTTTATTCCAGTGGCCGAAGACATAAAAAGTTGATGTTCCGAGTTTCAACACCAAGCCAATAATTTAAGGTGAGGATTTAAACTTTTTTTCATTTTCTCGATCTTCTCATTTCCTTTTTTTTTCTTTTCCTTTTTTTTTTTTTTGTTTGTTAGGTTGGGGGAGGGGGTGACAAATTTGGGAACATCCAATTACGTTACTATACATTTAAGATCTAAGAATCACATAACTTTACCAAATCCTACATGTACACCATCACAAACAAATATACACATGCATAAATCTGTCTTTCAGTCTGTGTTAGTGAATGCATCAGAAACATGTGTAAGTCTAGGATATACCTTTTTTTAGCGTCTGTTTGCTGTTCATTTGGTTGACTACAGCCAAGCTAAACTGTGCGTATCTAGACCACCCATACGGCAAATTACCTACATCAGCCACATCTAAATACGCAGACAAGGAGTCCACGTTATTTCCTTTTGGAAAAATAAGCACCCGCCTGCAAAAATTAGATCGTTGTCCATAACCCTAGACATAAGTAATAGAATCGAAATTCATGAAATCTAGTTTTGTAATATAAGGTAACATATAGAGATGTTTCTTCCGTGATTTCCAACGGGTGCATTAAATTCCCGTCCACGTGCACCAATAAGTACATGAAAAGAGATAAAGCCAAATTTACACTTCCACGTTACCATTTATAAACCCCGGCAACAAACACCTCAGAATAAATCTTCTTCATGCTTATTCTGGAGAAGTTCTCTATCGTCCATTTGTAATGCGCTACTTGTGCGTCGTCAGGACCCTGGTTTTCCACAGTTCTAGCACCCTCTGCTGATACCACTAGGAAATTACAAATGAACCAAATATAAAAACACATTGAACAAACCACAAACAATTTCAATTGTATCTATAAAAATAGGGAAAAATGAACAATCCAACAATGATGTGCCAAGTGTAACAAACAAACACACACAAATACAAAGAAATAAATAAAATCACGACATGCATGAACGTTCTAAATAACACACGAGACCAAATATAGCAGTGCATAGTAGGGCACCTTCCATAGGCTGCGGGCCTTCAACTAAGGGCTGTGGGCCTTCAACTAAGGGCTGCGGACCTTCAACTAAATCCGAGTGTGGTACGAGCATCTCATCATCTTCCTGTAGCTACAATTTCAGAAGCCAGATTAGAAGAAATGATCAAGTAATCAGTACACTTTTACCAATCTTGTATTCCTCTACCCGCATTAAATCAAAACAAATACAACAAAATTATAACTGGGTTAACTTAAACCCTCCATCTTCACTCACGCAAAACCCTAGTCGATCCAACAATTCTACCCCGCACACAAGCACGCGGACGGGGGCAGCGAAAATTCCCCGCCGCAATACACAAAATTGGGGGAAAAAATATAGAACACATTGATTATATGCATGCATATACGAAGTTATACATGCTGGAAGCAATAAAAAACTATGAATGGGCGTAAATTGAAAAAAAAAAGATGAGAGAGAAAGAAGAGAGTGGAATTACATCCAAGGGCTGAGGAGTTATCACAGTCATGGCCGGAAAGATTGCAGCCACGCCGATCGATGAATTGCAGAGAAATTAATGTAACCTGGGGGAAGAGAGCATAAGTAGTAGGAGAGAGAAATATATTTAAGGGTTTCTGGGTTTTCTCATTCCTCAGTGTTGGGTCTTCGATGGGACGAATTTGGTAATTGTTGACAAATTAGTGGGGTAATTTGGGAATTGTGAAATAGAGAGACGGTTTTGCGATTATTTTATTATTATTATTATAGTCGAGAATCTGAAACAACCCAACGGAAAAAAATATCTAACAAAGAAAGAAACGGCCCAAGTGAATGATGGGCTTTGGCCGTTTTACAGTCATTCAAATGTGAAATTTAAATATAATTTTGGTAAATTTACGCCCTACCCCTGAGATAAAGTCAAGTTACGAAAAACCTCATTTTGTTTCGATAATTACAACCTACCCCTCAATTATGTATTTTCTTACGAAAAAACACCTCCTTCAGTTGGTAAATTTGACGCGATAAGATTAAACGTATAAGAGACTACACAATTGATAGGTGTTTGTAGTTACCAAAATATAAGAGGGGGTTTTGTAATTTGATTTTACTTTAGGGGTGGCCGAATTTGCTCTATAAATTTTGATGAATTTATATCAGTGTTCTAAAAATCGGTCGAGGCGGCCGATTAATCGGTCTCTGAGGCGGAGGCGGTTCAAAACCTTTACGATTTTAGTGTAAAGGTTTGAAAAATTTTTTATTTGCCTGTGAGGCGGTTTTAGGCGGTCTGAGGCGGTCCGAGGCGGTCTGAGGCGGTCAAACCTTTAAGGCGGGTCAAACTCGGTGGCAAAAATCGGTCAAAAATCGGTTAAAAATCGGTTTTTTTTTTTTTTTTTTTTTTTTTTATAATTCAAAATAAAAGTTGGATTTTAATAAAAGAAAATATGAGTTTATGCCTTATTTTGTTTATGTTAATTGTTATTGTTAAAGAACTAATGATGTATGCCAGGAATGTTCAAGAATAAATGTAAATTCAAAAAAATTATTTTTTTATTAATATTTTATAAGGATATTTATGTATTGTGATCTTATAATTATTAAACTTGTATTATGTTATTAGGATATATACATGATGGAGATATAACTATGTTTAAATATCTTTTTATATATGTTTGGAGTATTTATAAATAATATTTAAAAATATATTATATTAAATTTTAAAAACCGATTTATTTCCGATTTATCACCGATTAATCACCGCCGCACCGATTAATCGTGAGTCGGTGCCTGACCGACTCGGACCCGATTACCGCTTTTTACAACCTTGATTTATATAAGTCAAATATGAATATGATTTTTATATGAAATTTTAATTGAACATGGTAATAAATAATCAATGCACGATTTTTCCCTCGAGTTCAAATGTGAACCAACAAATATGAATTAGATAAAGTCATTTCGGTATTGACCATCTAAATTATATATTTGTATGGGTGGATTGATGTAATAAATAATAATGATTTTGCTGACGTAAGAAAAATTATAAATTGCGGAGATTTTGGAATTAATTTTGAAAATTAAAATCGGATTATAATACGAAATTTAATTATGTATTTCAATTATTATAATAATAGAAAGTAAATAAAAAAAAAATCTAGCAAAGTGAAAATAGTAACTGCTGCTGACAGAGGAGCAAAGCAGCAGTAGATTTTAGAGTCAGGCATTAATAAACTATAAATGCAGTTTTTTCACACCTGGATTTTTTCCTCTTCAGAAAGCAAAATAAATGCGCAGAAATCCATACCAAAAAAAGCCTACCTGTTCTAGCAGAGCGTGAATCACGAAGCTTCATCCCTATTATAAATTCCTCAAAAAGCAGAGTTTCCTCTTTTCAGCTTCAACTCATTTTTCACAGAGTCAAGAGAAATTTTGCTGAAGGTGTAGAAGATTCAGTAACAGAATCCAGCATCTGCAGTAGCAGTGGGTGCGGCCGCTTTCGCAGCTGAAGTAATCGAACGCCAATGGAACCAATGAATTGTGTCAATGTGGGGTTTAATTTGAATAATTTGCAGATGATTCAGTGTTCGTCTAATCAGGTATTTATTTCACTGTTTCACACACTCACACACACACACACGTAAAATGGGAATTTAGAGAAATTTTTTTTTTTTTAAGCAGGGTTAAATTTTTCTGGGCTTTAGAATGTTAATGTTGGTTATCTATTTAAATTGTTGATTGGCAGATGCATTTATTTGAGAGAGAGGAAATTAATATGTGAACTCATATGTAAACTTATGTTTATGATTAAAACTTATGTTTATAATTAAACTTATGTTTATGATTAAAACTTATGTTTATGATTGTAACTTGTGTTATGGATCACAAGATAAACTATGCTAACTAATTGAAAGTATTATTAGAAATCAAGTTTCGATCCATCACCTCTTAAACCTTTTTTTCTGTCCACTACCTAAGCGGGAATTTTCGCTGCATCGACTATTTTGCATGAGAAAAATATTTACGTGTTCTGGCTAGCTTGCATTCGACGTTATGTTACGTCGTGGAATTCGCCATTTGTCAGGTTCAGTTTAATGCATCTCGCATCTTTCTGAATATTCGGTGACAACAAATTACTTGAATTTTTTTATCCCAGGCTATTGATTTAGAAAACGAAGAGGTTTTAATTCAAACTTCGTTGCTGGAGGAAGACATGATTACGGAATACAGTGAAAATGTGCGTAAGCAGCTATTCAGTTGGTTGATCCGATCAATCTTATACGTTCCCTATTTGGCAGATGCTTATCAGTTATATATGTGGAGTAGATAGATAAAATAGTACAATTTGAGCAGTTCCATATGATTGAGGTTTGACACGTACGTCAATCCGAGTGACTATAGGTTTTTCTATTTGATCGTCAATTATCATTTAAATGTAGTCACACTAAAATTTCAAATCGAAAGATTCTTAAAAATTAATTTCCTATTTTGTTTTCATATTTAATAATGTATTTCAATTGATATCCTGTAGATTAATAATGAAGATGGAATTAGTCCAAAAAAAGATGCGGAAGCAGGATTAGTGGTGGAAACAGATTCCGATGCCAAAGGGGAAATTCCGGTGCTATCAAAGCCTAGTGTGAGTGGGGTTGGAAATTAATTTGGAAGTATCTTGTACTTGATGCGCACACACGTGTTAGCTTATTTAGCGTCGTTGACTTAGTTGACTTTTTGATCCAGCGAGGTCCTAGGTACTTTGACCCGGCGGGTTTCAGCTTGCCAGAATGCAACAACAACTATGACAGATCCAAGAAGTCTAAAAAAAAGCGGAAAAGATGCTATATTTGCGGTGACACTCGTCACGAAGGACAGCGGTGCAAACAGGTTTCTCTAACATATGCTTAAAATATTTATGTGGTGCTTTCTAGAATCTTTTCGCATCTTTTACTTTTTCCGTATTTTTTTTATCAGCAATTATTAGCAATAAATGCCAAAACTTCTTCTAAATTCAAAAACACACACGAATTTTTTTGGGCCGTCTTAGACTCTATTTCGGATAACTACTTGAAAGAACTCGTCCGTTAAAATTAATAATTTGCGAGACTTATGTGAAATGATCCGAACGTCTACGACAATGTTGAAAGGTGTCTACTACTTCTACTTAATTCTGTTTTTGCTTCTGTATTTGGCAGGTTAATGAATGCTTCATTTGCTCCAAAAAAGGGCACCTGGTCATAAATTGCCCTAATAAAAAAGTTGAGGTGGATTCTACTTCTAAAATATGTTTAATGTGTGGAAGTACGGGCCACGACATGTTCTCGTGTAGCAGCAGTTATGACTCTGAAGATCTCAAGGCATGTAGCTTGATCTACTCGTATTTCAGTTTATCCTCGTGCAAAATCTACACGTGAAGCATTTAATTTTCATATCTTTATGATTCCAAGAAGTATTCGTTAAAATACAGACATTAGAAGCTTCCTAGGTTAAAATACAGGCTATCGAGTATTCGAGTGTTGTATCTGTCAAAAGATTTTGCAATTTTCATATTCAATATAAATTGTAAAATTTGTGGGCAGACTATCGAGTGTTACATCTGTGGAAAGGTCGGTCATCTCTGCTGTGCTGAGAATAAAACCGAAGGACTAAGAGGAGAAGGTTCATGTTACAACTGTGGGGAGTCTGGCCACTTTGGTCCGGTTAGTAAACCGTATCATTTTAAATCCCAAATTCTACGTTTTTTGACCGATCCTAATTCATGCACATGCTTATTAATATAGGAGTGCCCAAAATTGATTGAAGCTGCCAATCTTCTTAAACTAATATGCTCAAAATGTGGAGATAATGGCCATTCCCCACAAGAGTGCACCAAGGTAATTTGTTACCGGAGATGTCGTTGTACTTTGCATATGCATGCATGCATGCACACCTCATAATTTTATGATATTGCAATCAACGTAAATAAGATAAGTCATGAATAATGAAATTATCGGACCTTGTTTGATATTTGGTCCCGTTTACAGCCAATTTCAGCCAAAAAGGCAAAGAGGATGGCTCGTGAAATTCGCAGACAGAATATGCCAACAGTGAATCTTTCTTACCAGACTCAGCCGAGACAAACTGCGGGCCCTTACTGTGGATCAAATGTATGGTCGTCACCTGCTGCTGCGGCTACTGCAAGAGCAACTCAAGTTCCCAACGCTTTCAATCCTCTTACTCTAAATGGCAACGAAGGAAAAATTCCCGAAGTACCCCTCAACCAAGAAGCTGAAACCATTCTTCCCCAGAGAGCAACTCAGAATGAGCAGCAGAATTCATTCTACCCAATGACTCAAGTTCCTCACCCGATGTGGGATTGTAAGAAGGGAACTCAGATTCCTCAACCACATCTTAACTGTCAACCTGGAATCATGCTTCCTCAAGCGGAATTTCGAGTCCTTCAAAACTCGTTGACTTTGGGAACACAAATTCCCAAAGTACCCCTTAATCAACAAACTGGAACAATGGTACCCCAGATAGCAACTCAGATTCAGCAGACCCCTTTCTACCCCATGACTCAACCTCCTCACCCGACGTGGGATTGTAATAAAGGAACTCAAATCCCTCAACCACATAACCATCAATCTGGAATTCTGCTTCCTCAGGCAGAATATCGAGTTCCTCAAAACTCGTCGGTTTTGCCAGCTCATCCTCCTCATTCGATTTGGAACAGTGGCCAACGACTTCCTAGCCGTTCAACTCCTGTCATGATTGGTCAAGCAGGGACTCAAATTCCTCAGCACCCTTTAAACCATCAAGCTGGAATTATGCTTCCCCACCAAGTTTTTAACCATCAAACTAATGCTCCGTTCCCTTGCCAAAATAGAAGTAAGCAGACTTGAAGGTTGAATTTCAAACTTCCCCAACAACTTATGGAGTTTTCAGTCAATACATTAGATTTCATTTAGAGACGGAATAGCTCTGCAATGAGATTGTGTCTCGTACATTCAAGAAACAAATGAAATAAACAGCTGAAACGGGCTCGAGCAACTTCCGGAAGAGTTGGGTCAATCAGGTTTTTTACTCATTTCTTACAATCTGCAAGGTTACTAAGCTTCTCAGAATTATGAACATTTTCCGTTTTTTATTTTATTTTTAAATGCTACAGTGGATTTTACAATTTAACAAAAATCTGTTATAGACTTGATGTTTTTCATCAAATGATGTCAGTTATAATTTTTTTAGCTTTTACATTATCTCATAAATTTAGACTTTTACAAGTTGATCCTTAACATAAATTTGGGAAGAAGTAGAATACATGTTTTAACATTTTTTTAAATATCAAATATATACAACTCCATAGCAACTTCCTCCAACGTAAAGTAAATGCAACTGTCAGAAATTCTTCTACCGGAAGAGGATTTTGTGCACTCTGGTCGGAAATTTATTTTACTATCCCTGTAGAAACCAGAATATCAGAACTCAATCATAATCAAGAACTTTTAAATAAACAATGGTGAATTTGACATGAGTACCTGTTGGCTCATAAGTATTTCAACTGCAACATTCAAATCTCTATCAGCAGCTGCTAATGCTACTTCTACCTGTGTCTGAAATAAAGAAAGAAACAATGAATGGACTTAGTACCGATCTGAAGCTAGTTACCTTATGATGTTGCAGCTTCACAGATAGATAATTTTACCCTATCAAAACCCATAGCGACAAGTTTCTGAATTTCCTCCTCAGATGCAACGGAAACCTATATCAGAGACGAGTTCAGAAAACCTCCAAGACCAGATCACAGTTATAATAATGGAAAAAATATATATAATGGATAAAAGATGCAATTCTAATACAACAATTAAACCTGATTGTTTTGGGTTCTGATAGGCACCACTGAACTATTTACTAGAGGAGGCCTGAAAGGCAAAAATACACTTCAGTGGGATATCGATGACCAGACTTAAGCGCATCATATGATATATTACTGGTACCTCCCGTCTGATATTCGCTGCCCTGCCCCAATTGTTGCTGGATATGATGCCTGATTCAGGTTGTCACCATCATCGAGAAGTCTAGTTTGTAAATTAGGCTCAGAATTTGTAACTGAAGCTGCTTGGTTTGTACTAGAACTAAGTGTCCTCCCTCTCCCAGGGAATCTATCACCATCTTGTGCTGTCTGCATATACTATAGTGTGAGTATGCTTAGTAGATATTAACTTGATACAGTCACTCTATTTGCTTCAATTCAAATTTTAATTGTTGAAGAATCTCATGATTTCCCCAAAACTTTGCCAAACAAAGGAAGGCTGGCATATTCGAATATATTCATAATCTTGTGCAACGGTTAATCAAATAAATTGCAACCTACATCTCGAATGTACAGTACATTTCTATTATACAATACTACAAAGAGTTCTAAGTGATACCATTTTAGTTCGTGCTAACACTTAAACCTTGTTGGACTTTCTTCTACATTTTTATTCATTATTTTGCTTCTTATAACCTCTTTAACATCACTACTCTATGTTGTCAATTCCATTAAAGTCTCAGACAATAGAACACAATGATATAATGCATTCCCGTACTAACCCCACCCACAAAAATAGGAGAGAAAACACCAACGATTGTAAGGTTTCCAATGTACCTGCGGAGAACTTTCTCTTTGTGGCATCCAAGAAGATAGATTCCTCCACATATTTCCAGAGAGTAATCCGCTTCAGAGGAAACGGCAAGTATTTCAGACTTAATATCAAAGATCTAAAGATATGCCAACATATTGAATCTACTAATGAAGTCGAAACATGCAGGATTACCTTGACGTGGTGCTTTGACTTGTATATGTGGGGATGTGGCCCGAAGTATTGCTGCCGCTGCATATTATATATTTAGGTCTCCTCACACAAGTAGACTGCACCAGAATACCAGGAGTTATATAGTGGAGATGCACGTAACACCACCAAGATAAAGGGAGTGCACATGACATTAACAACAAGTAAGAACTATCCACTTACGTAAATAGTGCCATCAAGTCCATCTTATACTGAATTGGTTAACACAAATAGTTCATAGATGAAAAAATCCTAACCTTTTTATCTTTCTAATGAACAAAACAGAGCAGAAAAGGATAGTATAGAAACTCATTATTCAATAATATAATCTGACATCTACTTGAAATAACAAGCAAAAACTGATCTTAAATTAACAAATTTTGCTAAGCAAAATATCATATTTTTTTTTATGAAAAAAACCAACGTTTAATGTCAATATCAGAAGAGACATAAATCTAGCATGTTACTGGCTACTCTGATCTGAGAGCAAAAGATAAAGAAAACCTTAAACAACATAAGGTAAGAAAAGAGAACAAGAGTTATGTCCCCTCAAGTTAATTTATACTTACAAGCCAAGCGGAGGACTCAATGGATGAATAGAAGGATGTCCCAGGAATCAAGACGTTAAACAACCCAAAAGTATCTGGGGCCAATAGAAAATATATAAGATTAAGACTTATTTGAAGTACATGGGGAAGAGTGTTGGACACAGGTAGTATATATCTCATAAGAGCTGGATAACATACATGCATATCCGGACAAAATACCACATAGATGTCCAAGTAATGAAACATTTGTCATAAGTAGCTGAAACACCACTAACAATATCCATACATACCTGCAATATATAAAGAAAGGGTTGAACACAAATATTAGGGAAAAAACATCACCCAGAATCAAGTAGCGAACCAAGATATGAAGTTAACTAACCATTTTGCGGGCACGTTGAAAAGTCCAAAGAAACTGCAGATCAAGGGGAAAAATGATGAGTACAATTTCATATTATCCGGCTATATTAATTAAAAAATGCCAGTAAGCAGAAACAATCACTCACTAACTACCAAATTTACATTTTCACATTTCAACTCTCATGTAAAAATCTAAAGCTACTAGACCCATGTTTTTGGGACAGTGGGAATACAAGACTGCCTAGCAAATATGTCACACCATTACTAGTCATATGGCTAAATTAAGTTTCATAGTGAAAATGAGGCAAAGAAAAACATATGATGTGCTTGACATGTAAGCAATGAACAAACCTTCGAGTTTGGATTCCACTAAGGCTTGTCTCTATGACGATCATAGAGAACAGAATCCCTGAGAAACCTATAGAACACTGATTCATGAAATGGGGATAAGCATCAACCGGATTATGAGCTACCAGTAATGCGATAAAAAGATGAAGTATCGCATTGCTTGCGGCCAGTAGAATTATTATGTACAACAAGCGGATAGATCCCATAATTCTTTCAAGCTCAGATCCCATGGGCACCAATGCCATCATGTTGAAGAGAACATGCAGTAAAGAACCATGAAAAATAATTGCAGTGTACATCCTGTAAACTGCAGAAGAAAAGAAAAGGAGAAGAGAAACGAGTACGTTATTGGCAGGTCTAACAGCATGAATTTCCTTAGAGTTCAAAAGGCATGTCTAGAAAACAATTAACAAAAAAATACTGTAAAGGAAAATATGCACAGTCCATGACATTACGGAGAAGAGTAAATTACCTTGGAAATGAGAAATAACAGCCGAAGGCAAGAAGCATACTTCAACGAAGGAGTCATATCCAACTAGTAGACAGACCAAGTAAATAATTCCACAGACGAATACTACCACCGACGTGAGGAATGGAATGCCTTCCCACCATTGGTTTAATCTGGTAGACAGTCCTGCCTTTACAAACAATCGAAACAACTCAAAATTGAGTCCCAGGCATAATGCATTTACTACATAATTGGGGAAGAAAAGAAAAAAAAAAAAGGACGACCACAAAATCAACCATGTTATGCTTAACGATTATCTACATAATTGAAACAGAGGTCATAATCATACTCAATAATTGGTGAAAACGCAGCTAATTACACTATCTCAAAACGATCAAAATGAACAGTATTACATAAAAACCCAGCATAAAAATCGCCCAAAGTCAATTTCCTCAACGAAGTGGCATGAAATTTAGCTAATAATAAATTACATACACCGGTTATTCCATTTCCTATTAAAAACAATATGAAGAATAACTTAAACCCTGGAAATTTAAAACCCTAGATTCACACACAGTGAAGGAGTAATATACAGAGGAGTGTGCATATACATTCCATGGTGAGCGGAGCTGAGAGAGAAGATTTTCAGTACCTCGGACACAATGTTTGATCGCATCGTGCTGTTAAAATCTTCGAAAATTTATCACTTCCAAAATGTTTTTCAGACGGAGATTCGAGAACTCGAGAGAGACGTTTTATTGTGATGTGCCGATCGGGTCGGGTATTTGCCTTGTGGTATCCGTATATTATTCATTAATGATAGTTCTACACTCTACTACCATTCTACATTTCCATTTCAACGCTATTAGAGTAAAGTTTAAGTTTACTTTATTTGAGCTTATAAGGTATTAATATTATTCTAAAATTACTCTATTACTTTTTTCGAAAAAAGAAATTTATCGAATAATTATGATGTTGTTATTCATAATTCTTTAACAAAAATTATTAAAAAAAATTAATAATTTATTTTAAAAATTGTACGGTGTTTTAAAAACTATTTATAAATTAAAAAAAAATATTATTTATTACTGTTATGTTCACTTTTAATAAGTACTATGAAGCTGTCTTTTGACAGATTATGAGCTTTTTAAATGTTTAGTGAAATATTTGAAGAGCTTATTTCTGAAAATTACTCACCTTTTCAAGTATTCCTGAATCCTGAATACAGAAATGAATTCAGCCAAAAGAAACCTCATACATTTTCTCTCACGTGCCAGGAGAAACTCTACTTCGGTTGCAAATACAACAAATAAAACCGGGGACGTGATTTAGATTCACATATTTTTATGTAATTTCTCTTACAACAAACCTGTTTTTTCGACATCCACCAGAGTTTTACGGAATCGTCAACAATTTTTATGAATCTCATGGTGGACAATGTCGCATCAAACAAGCTACTATACGACACTACAAAATTCAGAAAAATACAACCAAAATACTTCCTCGGCATTGTAAGTTCTCATGGAGAACAAGAGACGGAAAAAGTACAGCTTTAATTCTTGACCGTTGTCATTCCCCCAATAACAAAGAATCATAAAATTATCGATAGATTGATCAAACTCCCAGCATCAAATAATCTCACCACTGGAGAAATAAATAGGCTAGGCAGCTATAATTCTTTCTGCCACCCACTGAGCCTTGTCCCAGGGTCATAGCTGGTAAAAAGCCGAAACTCGTTCCCAAGTTTGCTCGTGTGCTGAGGTCTAAAACCACATGGGTGTAAACCTAAAACTTCTGCAGCCAAATCCTTTTGCACCTCACCTGCAAGAATATTAACAGTAACAAATGTTAAGAGGCTTAGTAGTTCATATATATAAACGTTCCGAGAAGGTGGTATTTGAGGCTGTTTTATGCCTAACCCCGACATTTCTTTTCAGAAGCCATAGTCAATGGATGCATTATGACTTCTTACAAAAAAGTGATTATGGTCGAACTTAGAATATATTTATATAGATCCAAGACAATATCCTCATCAAATTAAAGGGATTCAGATTTCAGTCGGAGTCTACCTGTGAGTAATAATACGTAAGATTCTCCAGGTATAGAAAGAAATCTAATTGCTTCAGCAACTTTCTCCAAGCACTCCTTGCTCTGACAACAAAATCATCAGTTCAACATAACCGTTTACTTAATTCAAACATCGGAGCATTTCAACAATTTGACCTGAGAAGGTCATATATCCTTGTATCTCTCTTACTTCACATGCACTTTTTCGTGAACCCAATCAAACATGCTAATATTTGTCGAAAATTGAAAACTCAATCAATCCAAAGAACAATCTAAAATTTTCCCAACTCTCTTGTATAATTAGGCCTCAATGTAATACTGTATCCACTGATAGAACAAAATCGAGCTATCAAATCGTAATTAATTTGTGTGAAATATGATTAATTTACCAAGTAAGGAGGATCTGCAACTACGATTGGAAATGAATGCTTCAAAGACGATGGAAGGTCCTCCGGATGGTTGTAATCATAGAAAGTGAACTCGGTCCCATATTGCTCGAACCTTTTATCGTACTCGAGAAGCTGAGCTGGCACTTGCGGAGCACTTCTCTGAAATAGTCTCAACACAAGTAAAGTAAACAAACTTGAATTGCAGCTGAATCTAAATTCATACGATGTTATTAGATCCTAATTCACCAGAAAATGTACCGAATTAAAACTTAGAAAAATCAATATGGGAAGCAAATATCGAGAACTGTTGTTGTACGTGGTTCTTCAATTGTAGTACCTTCATAAACCCTAGAATTAGAAGTCCTCTCAAATAAACAACAAAAGCCCTAAAAAAACATAATCGAAAATACCTTGAGATAGGCATAAAGAGTAGGACAAGCAATGCACGAGACGCGAGGAGAAGCGAGCGTCTCGCAGAGAGTGGCGACCTCAGCAGCGATGGTTTCGGCTGTTTCGCGATCGTACCAGAACTGGCTGAGCCGCCAGTCTTCAGCCACCAGGGACACCTCCTCCGCGCCGTCCGCGGCGGCAACTTCCCGATTCTGTTCGGCAAGGAACTCTTTAAGCGCATCCAGCGCATGAGAGCTCAGTGCTGGAAGATCGTCCCCATCGTCTTCCTCCGTAACAACTACGGTTTCCTTCCGGTGAAGTTCGAGTTCTTCTCCGAGATTCCCTTCCGCCGACGTCATTTTCCGTGGAGGCGGGGATTGTTGTAAGAGGTCTACCCAGGTTTTTCCGCAGTGTTTTTGGTGTAAGAATTGTGATTTAAATTAGTCAGAAAATATATAAAAAGAAAGGGTAATAAACTAGTACAATGTAATTATCCGTGAAAAAAATAGTAAATAATAAATAATTAAAAATATAATAATAATAATAATAATACAAGCAGAAATGTATATTGAGCCAGAAATCCAACTAAAGAAAATGTGAATAGTTTGTATCTTACATTAAATACACATCAGCCAAATTAAAAAAAGAAAAGAAAAGGAGATAAATGAAATGAATACAAACAAGCACGCAAAGCCAAAATTCTCATGAATGCAAAAGCAAAAAAGAATAGTTGTTGATAGTTTCGTAGGAAGACAAATTCAATCCTTTGTTCATAATTTATACATAAAAAACTTCTCGGGTGGGGAGAGAGATCTCTAAGCACCGTTCTTGTTCTGCCACGGCTTAATTACACCGACGACGATAATTGCAACTATAATGAGAAGGATTATGATTGCGATGCACATCCATTTCCTCGAGTTCCTTTGCAAACTTTTCGCCTTTTGAAGAGCAGTATTCCCGGACTGCACATGGTCCACAGCCGATGACACCTGGCAAATTTACAACCGTTTGATCAAAATTCCACGTTTTCCTCCTGTAGGAGGCAAGGCAACAATATAGCTGTTGGTTAAGTTTACCTGTGACTCGATGTTATCGAGCATGTCTCCTTGAGCATCCACCAGTACCGCCATGTCCAGGAATATCTGCGGGGAGAAAATTAAATTTGCCCATTATTTTTAGTTCCAAAATATTTACTCCGGCGTATAGTTTTGAACTTGCACAGATAAGAAGAATTCGAAATTTCAAATGGTTGCAAAATATTTCGTACTATTTTATATCCTTGAAGAAAATTACTACTACTACTATACCTGTTGCAGATCTAAAAGCTTCTTCTCTAAATCTCTAACCGCATCGTGTCGTTCTTGAATTTCTGCCAGAGTGTCCATTACCTGCAAATAGAAATAATATGAGCGTCTAAAAAGTATCTGAAAACGACAATTAAAGTATTAAACACATCACAACCAAGTATTAAAGTATTTCACGATACCTGGCCTCGGCCTTGTTCTCGGATTGCTGTCTGAAAAATCTGCTCGCTGTCTCCGGTCTCTATTAAATTATCAATTGTCTGGGGACAAATCATTAAAGTAAATGAATAACAGATAAATACATTTTCATTTTATGGAAATTAAGAACCGAGACTGGCTTCACCTCTTCACTAGCTCGAGTGCCAGTCACTGAAAACCACATGAAACAGAAAATAAAATAAAAAATTAGTGGGCTGGAAATTAGCTGGTGCACAAACTAGTAAAAGATGTGTTTCCTAGATAAAGCATTAACACCTGTAAATACACGCCTCTCCACAACTTCACGATACTCTTGATGTATATTTTCTCTTAAAGTCTGCAAAGTACAATTTGAAAATTAGGAAAGAAATTGATATTTACAGCATGCCCAAGGTGACATGCAGTTAGTATACCTGAAATTCAGACATCCTGTCTTTGAACTTCTTCTTGAAAGACCTGCATTTAAACGTAACCAACGGGAGTATAAGAATGAAATGTCACTTGCAGCATGTCATCTAACAATCCTTTGATCTAAAACAGAACATTGCAGGCAAATTTCGAATTTTATCACTTTCTGAAACAAAGATTGCTTAACATCTGACAAAATTAACTACAAAAAAAAAAAAAAGCAACCTCACATCTAAAACAAAGCAACCAGTGATCATGCATCTATAACTATACTCGAAGTAGAAAAATGTTCAGAATGGCTAATCAGTTTATTCAAGTAAAAGTAACCCAGAAACAATAAAAGGGAGCGTAAATTACACTGTTGTCGACGTTCTTGTTCTGTCTACACCCGATCCTTTTCCACATCCTGGCTTTTGTCTATTGGCTAAATTCTAGACAAGAGAAGAAAAATAAAATATCACTAATAGAACATATTTAAAATGCCAAGCCTCAATAAGACGTGGGAAATATTTCACCTCTCTGTCAAGTTCCTCAAGTTTTGATTTAATAGAACGTGCAACTTTACCAACTTCATCGACATCCTTCTCCATTCGCTTCTTGATAGCTATGGAGGTTAAAACATGAAAATTAAGATTCAGATAACCAAAAACTGAAGTTAAACACTGATGATTACATATGACAAATAATTCCTTTAGTATCATACATGTTCAAGCAAACTTATGCTACAGCCTACCTTTCATTGCAGCAGCCTTGGTAACAGCCTTTGATTCCTCGTGAGCATCCTGGTTAGATGGCAAAATTATCAGAATGTTACATATCACACAAGGTTTCTCAGTTTAACAGACTACTACTTAAACTGACTACAAAGGAACTCACCACAGAATGGTCCATATGTATCATTTATCTATATTCTTAACCTACAGATACACAAATTTCACGAAGAAGAAAGGCATAAATATAAACCTGAAGTTTTCTCTGTAGGGTATTGAGTTTTTCATATTGTTTCTCAATCTCCTCAACCTGGCAAATACAAAATAAGAGGCAAATCAAAACCTTAATTTCAAAATGAAATAAGATAGGCACCGATTATTTAATATAAACTCAGTCTTTAGGCCATCGGATAGTGTTAATAGCCGATGTAATAACTCCTTTTCATGATCATCATGGATCATTATTATGTTAAGTTGCAGGCACCTGCTTGAAGAAATTCTCCAAGCCTAGATCTCCAGAAGTCATTTGTCTCTCCATTCCCATTTCAATATCACCATTTCTATCACCTTGATCCTTCACAAAGGAACCCTGTAAAAAATACAGAAGAAGAACGAAAAAAAAATCAGGCATAATTGTATAGAAGCATATTTTAGCATAAGCAACAAGTTGGGAAAGTATGCTTCTAACTCAATCCTTTTAAAACTTTACAGATGCTGGAACCAAAAATTTAGAGAATTTATTAAGCTAGATACTGTTTGAAAAGAGATGGATTTGTTTGAAACATTTGGTTTGAAGAGCAGTGTTCAAGGTCCTCAATCAAACTGTTGAAATTTGAGATAACTGCTCCGAGGAATGATTTCAATTGTGATCCACATTCACTGACGCACATGGCCAAAAAAGCATATTTCTAAGGATTTTTATTGCGTTGGTTTTTCGTCAATTACTACAGTAATAAACACAAAGTCCATGGATGCAAATCTCTAAAAGGAAAAGTGGTGTTTTTACTAGCTTAAAATGAGAATGAGATTGAGTATGACTTATTCACTTCGAAGTTAGGGTCAGGTAGCATTTCAAATTCATCAAATTTAAGATGATTTTATTTCCCCAACGACTAGTAAAAACAAAATTACACAGCCAATATATACAAGGTAGCAAGTTCAAAACCCAAATTTATTGTTTAAAAAAAGGTCCATTCAATGAAACTAGTATTGAAAAATCTAAACTGATTCCTTACACCAATCAAAGCTGCATCGGACATACTTTATCAAGCAATTGTGCAAAATACACGAAACTGACCTCATTCCGTATCAAACTTTGAAAAGCAAATCTTGTAAAACAAGGCGCAATCACGTTTCCAAACTTGAGGACAATTTTTCCCACCCTCATTCAAAATTAAAAAAACTCATACAACCACAAAACATAAAATTGAAAGCACAACGTTTTTTTACAGATCAATTTTTAACAAACAATCCCCACACCTATTCATTTCTTCAGGGAAAGACAACCGAAATTACAGCAAAAGGGCCAAAAAATGAGATAACTTATTAGCTTTTATCAGCAGCTAAAATCCGATGCTTTCACATTCAAAAATTAAAAAATTCCGAGATAACAATATTCAATTCAACCAATTTCTCGTCAGATCAATCGCAATCAAACCTATAAACAAAGCGACGAAAAAACTCACCGACAAAAGGTCATTCATCCTGGAGCAATTGGAAGCCTGAGGATTTCGAGAGACGAGAGAAGAATAGATTCAACCAAAGATCTCCTTCCCTGGAAAAGAACTCCCCTCTCTCTCTCTCTCTCTCTCTCTTTCTTCCTCTTTCCTTTTGTATTTCCTTTTTTTCTTATTTGGGATTTTTTTTTTTTTTTGTACCGTGTTGAATTAGAGAGAGAAAGAGACAGCGAGGAGAGAGAAAGAAACAGCTACTTTGTGTTGTGTGCGTCTTATTTTTCCGGTTGGAGAACAACGCAGACCTATGACTTGAAAGAGCGCGTGAGCAACAGCGCCTCTATTTAAACAATTTCAAACCCCTATTTATCTATTTATTTATTACTCCTATTACTTGGTGGAATTTTCTTTCATATAATTGCCAATTTGCCATAAGGCCCATAATGAATTTTAATTTAATTAAAACATAAAATTTATTTTTCAATATTTATTTTATCCCTGAAAAATATAAATTTAAAATATACGTGCATACATGTAACATATGTGTGGAATTAGTAAACAGTTTATGTAAAAAGAAAAGCATAAACTTTAAAAAGAGGGGTGGGGTGTTTCAATAAATAGAAATTAAATTAATTTAAATGAGCTAACAGCCTAAAACTATTTAAATATAAAAAAAATATTCAATATGTATAATACAATATCAGTTTCTTCACTTTATTGGATTCAAAATTAATATTGCGTATTAAACACATGAACAAAGTCGTGCTGAGAATTTATTTGCATCTAATATGTCTGCATTAAGTAATTTACCAAAGTGATTTAATTAATTGTACAGTTGATTACGGTCGCTAGTTTGTATCTATTCTAATTTCTAATTATAAAATTACTATTTTCATCATAAACAAAAAAAAAAAAAGGTTATTAAATAGATATTTGGATTTTCATTATTTCTGTCTCATGTTATCTTCAGTAATTAATTTTGACCAATGAGGAGTGAGGACATATTGGAGCCAATAGTAAAATAATAAAATAGTTTAAATGCAAAATATATAATAATAATTAAAAAATAATAGTTGGAC